CCCTTTTGCTCCAAGTCAGCCCTGGCAGCTTGTAGCGCTACAGCTGTTGTGGGACTACCAATCCCATCGTGCGCTCGGTTAGGACACTCCGCAAAAATCGCACGCGCAATGATGGGCCTTGACGCAAAAAATATCCGTTTTGCAAACCTTGCGCAGTTCCCAAGGCAGCCAGTGGCTCTCCAGGTGTCATGGAACTACAAGGCCCAGCATGCACACATGCCCTCGGCTGTGAGACTCGGTCGAAAAAGGTCCTGGCGTAAACCTTGCGCAGGCCCCAAGTTGGCCCTGGCAGCCTGTAGCTCTACAGCTATTGTGGAACTACAAGTCCCAGCAAGCAGCAACTTGCTTGCCTTGGAGACTCAGCAAACAATGCGTGCGGTGATAGGCTATGATGCAAAATATATCCCTTGTAAACTGTGTGAGGCTTGCGTCGGCCCCAAGTCAGCCATTGCCTCCTGTAGCTCTACAGCTGTTGTGGAACTACAAGTCCCAGCATGACAATGGTGGTTATGTACTGATATATTTGCACATAGCAATGGCCACTTTCCCATATAAATCCCTATACAGCATGTGCGCCAAATGTGTCCTGGCCCACGCAAATATTCATATGTTTTCCGCCCTCCGTCCAATCCAGTCAACGGGCCTCTTTCGCCCTCTGCGCTGCAGGAATGCGCATGAATGCATGTTCGTGCACATTTTTGCCGCAGTCAATGGGCTTCTGCATGCGTGACAAAAGGAGCAAAGTCGCTCATGCAGCATTTTTTTAATGTATGCATTTGACGTGCGTCCATAAACGAGAAAAAAACGCACATTTTACTGCCCGCGTTCATGGTGCCATTAACAAGCAATGGCACTGCAGGAGCGTCACACGTTTTTACAATATATTACACGAACCCACGTCAAAGTGCGCGCTTTGGTGCGTGTTCATGTATGTGTGAACCCGACCCTTTCCAAATCTTGTTTTTATGGCTCATTCCGGGGCCCGCAGACAGGACATCGTTTTCCGCCTTCAGGAGCGATTTGGACAATATTCTGGAGCAGTGGCGTAGTCACAACTCCAGCACACACCATCCAAAATGTCTGTGGTTGAAAAGCCCCTTTGTAAGATAAGAGACGCAGTATTTATATATCACTTAGACCCCGTTCACATGTAGCGACATACCTTTGCAGCGGCCGGGATAGCGCGACTTTCGGGGCGACGTTCCAGTGACGGTAGCCCGACCTTCTCAGTCGGGCTCCATAGAAAAAAAGCAAAATCCGTCGAAAAAAGGGTCCGGTAGAAGCGACTTGCGACCACGACGAGCGACATGGAGTTAAGACAGCTACATTGAATAGCATTGGCCGGCGACTTCTCGCGATATCGCGCGGCAAAAGTGCGCGCTGTCGCGCGACAAGTCGCTACATGTGAACGGGGCCTTAAACTGCGTTTGATGGTCAGGTGACTTCTGTATCTTATGTCCGTAACTATGGGCAAATTTAGAGTGCCCCGGGCGCAATTCGGTGACCTTCAGATTTGGGTCGCAGAGATGAGCAGACGCTCCACGAGTGCTGAAAAAAAATCCTACATGTGCAAAATATATACATTGGGGGGAATTTATCAAAACTGGAGCAGACAAATATGGAGCAGTTGCCCATGGCAACCAATCAGCTTCTCTCTTTAGTTTGTTTAGTTGAGATTTGAAAAGGAAAGAGAGAAGCTGATTGGTTGCTATGCACAGCTGCTCCAGATTTTGATCAATTCCCCCCCATTGTATCCAAAGACAGGAAATGCATTGTGTGCACCATGTTCGGAAGATGGAAAGACACACAAAAGGTATAATATATGTGTGATAGGGAATAGAGATGAGGCGGGGCTACGTGCAACCTAAATTCGCTCCCAAGCCTGCTCAAAATTGTGACCACTACCCCTGGGGTTGCCACCTGTCCAGGATTCACCCGGACGGTCCTGGTTTTGAATGCTGTGTCCGGATTTCATGGCAGCAGAAACCCGGACACAAGATGTCAGACAGACAGGGGCAACCAAAATTAAGATAGGGGCTACTGGCCCCCCACTGACAATAGTCTCATCTGTAATATTTGCATATGAATGGGCGGCGCTATTTACATGTGAATAAGCCACGGCTCATTCTCCCAAAAAAATGCCTGTGTGTCACTAGAGTGTTCGGGTTTCGCATGAAGAAAAGGCGGTAAGCGTACCTACCCTCCTAATTCCAACCCAATCAGTGGTAGCCGATGCGGTCGCATAGCTGCGGGTTGACCCTACTGATTGGGTCGCAGTCACCGTCTTGGGTAAACTGGGTTCGCACCAAGCCCAGGCTCATCTCTAGTCCCCCATCACACATACATGTGCCAATTTAGGCAGGAGCCAATTAACCTACTAGCGTGGCACTGGACCTTCCACCTTGCAGCACTGGGGTCCTCAGTTTAAATCCCAGCAGGGCACTAACTGCATGGAGGTTGCATGTTCTCCCTGTGCACTAGGGTCCTTAGATGGTAAGCTCCTTGAGACAGGGACCGATGTTCATGAATAGCATGCCTAAATGATCCCCCCCCTCCTTTTTTTTCGGAAGTTATTCGTTCTCGCAAGGAAAGAAACACAAAAAAAAGCATTTCCGACTGTCACCGAAAGGGTGAGGAAAGGTCAGAGTGACAAATACAACCCCCCCTTGAAGGGAGGGCATAGGGTAGAGAAAGGCTGGAGCCATTGTTGTTCTTATCAGAGGAAGAGGGAGAAGCTTGATTGACAGCTGGAAATGTGATCCTGTGAAAGAGACACACAGCAAAGGGGAGGGAGAGAAAGAGAGAGAGGGGGGGAGAGAGAGAGAGAGAGAGATGGATCAGTTTGGATAGGAGGCCCCTGGAGGAGAAGAGGAGGAAAAGCCACACAATCCAGCTCTGTCAATGCAGATTACAGCTTGCACAGGGGGAAGTGCTTGCTAATAACTAATGTTTTTTATTCAATTTGGAGGGAGTACTCTGAAGCTAGTCACAATCAGGTGGGTCTTTTTGCAACTTTTTTTTTTTCTTCTTCCTCTTGCCTCCTGTTTGATAGTGGGGCTTGATTGCATTTTGCAAGCCCTCTCTGCTTCCTCTCCCCTCTGTACTCCCCGTTAGGTGCATTGCAAGTCTTGTTCATCGCCATTACTAGTTGTTGCACACGTTTGCAAATCACAGATCTCCACTTGCAGCCCTGGGGGAGGGGAGGTGGAGATATACAAAACAGCTCGAGACTTCCGTTTCCACTGTTAGTATTTGCAAGTTTGTTTATTTTATTTCATTTATTTATTTTGTTTTTTTCCCCCCTCTTTCTCTCCTCTTTCCTCCTCCTCTTCTACTGAGCTCCTGGCCATCCTCTCGTGCAAATGTTAGTTCAGGGGGCACCAGAGGGAATTTTTATGAATGAGATTGTGGAAGGTTGATTAGCTATGCATTTTTTTTTGTTATGATGCAATTTGTCAATAGCTCTTAATCAAAAAAGTTTCTTCTCTGTAGGGTTGTTACCGCGCTAGCTGCACTTTTAATCTTTTATTGTTTTCACTCGGGGGCCCTTTAATATGTTTGCTAGGCTGCCAACTTTTACTCACTAGTAGGGCATTGTGTATCCGAATTGTCTACTAACATTATGACACTTGGTAGTCTCCCTTCTCTAACTGTTTATTTATGTCAGGGATTGCTGAGACGATCCTGCTTTCTTGCTGCTGGCGAACCACAAATCCCAGCTCCATTGTCAGAGCAAAGCCCACTGTACCCTGCTAGCTCAGGCTTGTACAGCATGCTGGGACATGTCGTTCCTTGCTGGTACCGGAGGTAATCTTACCTTCTTGCTGCTGGTGAACCACAAGTCCCATTTTTAGAGCAAAGCCCACTGTGCCCCGCTAGCTGGGACTTGTCGTTCCTTGCTGGTTCCTGAGAAAAAGGAAGCTGAGACAATCCTGCTTTCTTGCTGCTGGTGAACCACAAGACCCAGCTTCATTTTCAGAGCAAAGCCCACTGTACCCTGCTAGCTCAGGCTTGTGCAGCATGCTGGGACTTGTCGTTCCTTTCTGGTTCCTGAGAACAAGGAACCTGAGACAATCCTGCCTTCTTGCTGCTGGCGAACCACAAGTCCCAGGTCCATTTTCAGAGCAAAGGTCACCGTACCCTGCTAGTTCGATAGAGTACTACATTGAAAAGTGCTTTTATTATTTTTATATTTTCTTATTTGTCACTTTATAATACTTTTATATTACTTGGCATCTACAACTGCCTTCTGAGCACTGTGAATGTGAGCTGAGATTCAAATGTATGGCTCGGTGCCCTAAACAAGCAAAGTACAAGGTGCAAATTAGTACAGAAGGTCTATGATCCTTCACCAGTTCGGTGTCTTAACCCCATTCATAGTTACGTAGTAGGTAAGGTTAAATAAAGACAAGGGTCCATCTAGATAGAGATGTGTGTGTGTGTATATAAGACTTCAACATCACATACAATTGCCATTTGATTTAGCACCAACATCTTCCATGGCCCCGTACAAGGTGCAGCCACGTAGGGGTCCATGGGATATCCTGTGCTTGTTGATGAAAGAGTAGGGGTGGGAGGTTGATCTTAAAAGGTTAGAGCTATAAAACTGAAGAACATACGACGTGTTTATAATGTAAATTCATTACACTTTTGTCTTTCTAGAACTCTTTCAAGATCTGAGTCAGTTGCAAGAGACGTGGCTTGCTGAAGGTAAGAGAGGCCAAAATGGTTGGAGAGGGAGAAAAATTGTAGAGGAGAGCGAAAATGGAGAGGAAGAGTGAGAGAATGAAAGAAAAAAAAAAAATAGAATGAGAGAGAGAGAAAGGAGGAGAGAGAGAGAGAAGTAGTGAACTTGCTGTCTCGATGTTCAGCCCAATTAATTGAGCTTTAAAAGAGCCACCTCAAGTGTCGTGCATACATTAGAGGCTGTGATGACTTTGTCTTTGGGGACTTGGGAGCTGCTCTATCCAGTGTCATCACAAATTACTAGGAGAGGTTGCTTCCAGCACACAATCACATCTGCTTTTGGCCAGAACTGGTGCTGAACGACTTGAGGTTCTTGTCAGCCTCCCTCTCTCTCGCTCTCTCTCTCATTGCTCTCTCTCTCCTTTTTTTTTTTTTGATTGCAATTGATCAGCTTTTATATCAGTGCACCTCGAGAGACTGCATCACACAGGCAGCGCAGGGCAAGAGGCAGCTGTCTTATTTCCATCAGCACACATGATCCTGTGGCGTTCTACCAGAGTAGCTTTCTGATGGCACAATCTGCTCTCATTGAGTTCACTAGGACGGGATGCTTCAAGAATTGAGTGCAAGTGCCTTCTTCCCACCTTGCTCTCAGCACAGGACGCTAGGTGTGTATGGAGTGGTTGGGATATGATGGTAGCTGGATGCTTTTGTATTCTAAGTTTGTATCATTTCATGCATACATGGACAGATTTTCGTGTATAAATGTGACTTTTGTAAAAAATATTTTCCTTTTTTTAATTTTCCTTTTTGTAATAGAAAACAGACAGCAGATCGAACATAAGTACACTTGTTTAATATTGTTTATCATTGCTTTTGTGTAAGGTTGGGTTATTGCTTATCCTAAACATATTGCAATTGAAGTTTCTGTTCATTTCTTTACTACACGTGCTGTAGGATAATCTAAGGCTACTGATTATTATTATCGTTATTGTTATTAATATTATTTTTTATTATTTAGCATTTTTTTTTCTTTTGTCAGTTGTGCAGTGAAAAAATGTGCTATTCTTTCCAACCCATGATGTTCTATACAGTAAAATTTTATATACTGACAGGTTTAGGTGCACTGCTATGTGTAGGATGGAGTAGTTTGGCTGACTTATTTAATTGGTTTACCTACATACCATTGTTTTTTTTATTTTTTATTTGTTTTAGCTGTGGGTTTTTCTTTGTTTGATGGTTTGACTTTGACATGGCTGGTAAATTGGTGGCTTCATGATGTACTTTTACTTTCTTTATGCATGTCTATAGAATGTGCCACAATGTGAAGTGATCACTTGTATTATGCAGTTATGGAAAAGGGTGTTTTTTTGGGTGAGATTCACAATCTGGGATACTTTTTTTTTTTTTTTTTTTTTTTTTTTA